AGAAGACGAGGAAATCAAATAAAGATAAAAAAACTATTTTGATATTAAATGAACAATAAGGAGATGGTGTTGCTGAAAAAAAAAACAATAAGGAGATGGTGCTAATGGAGGAGAATTTAACAATACTAGTAGTGTTAAAAATAATATTTAAAAAAACGACCCAAAACCAGAATCGTTCTGGCCACTAGTTTCCAGGTCGTCGCTTTGACCATCCAGTTCGAACAGACAACCCATTTTGACAAAAAAAAATAGTTAAAATAAAATGGCCAAAAACTATTGAACAGGTAGAATGGGTCAACGATTCGACCGCCCAGGTCAACGGGTCATTGACCAATTCAACAGTTGTTGGCCAGGGACCAGATTTGGGATAAAACGGAACCGGTTGCCTAGATGGTTCCCAAGCTGAATAGTCCAACCGTCTGGGTCAACGACGGTTCGAAAACCTCAAAATAATACACACCTTCATAGAGTGAGGCCTACTTAAGTAAAAGATGTACTAAACAAAACGAAGAAAGGAAAGGCAATTAGGAATTTAGGACCTTATGGGATTGCAATAGAAGTATGGAAAGCTATGGGAAAGGTAGACTTGTTATGGCCAACCAAACTAGTTAATAAGATAGTAAAAGAAAAGGAGATGCCTAATGATTAGAGAAACAGCAATATGGTGCCTCAATTTAAGAAAAAGGGCGCTATACAAAGTTGTAATAACCATCAGGGGATTAAACTTATGAACCACACACTATGAAACTTTGGGAGAGAACAATCGAACAAATATTATGACTTGAAACAAGTGTATCAAAGAACCAATTTGGCTTTATGCAGAGCAAATCAACCATGGAAACTATATTTCTTTTGAGATGATTGATATAAAAGTTCAAAGAGAAGAACAAAGATCTTCATAGTTCATACAGTATTTTATGATATAGAAAAAGTATATGATAGAGTCTAGAGAGATAATATGGTGGGTCTTAGAAAAGAAAGGGGTTCAAAATAGGTAATATAAACCAAATTAAGGATATTTATGACGAGGCAATAACCATTGTTAAAACACCAGTGGGAATGACATCAGATTTACAATTACTATGGGTCTTCACCAAGGTTTTACACTTAGACCTTAACTATTTACATTGATCATAGATGAATTGATTAAATATAGAATACAAGAGATTTTAAAATAACCATGTTGTTTACGGATGACATTGTTTTAATTGACAAGTGTCATAGAATACAAGAGATTTTAAAATAAGTAGGACTAAAATAGGATTGTAAATAAAGATGCACTTAGGATTGGAGACCAAGAGATAACACAATGTGACCATTTCCAGTACCTTGGTTCAATAATTCATAACGAGGGAGACATTGAGGAGGATGTCACCCAAAGATTAGAGTAAGACGGGCAAAATGGACAGGTGCATCTAGGCTTTTATGTGTTAGCGAACACCACTTATTAGATTAAGAAGAAAATTCTATAAATAGTTGTAAGGCCAACTATGTTATATGGGGCATAGTGTTGGGCAGTCAAGAAACATGACCAGAAAATAAATGCGAAAAAAATGCAAATGCTAGGTGGATGAATGGAAAAACCAGAAAGGATAGGATTATGAATGAATTTATCTCTAGGAGCCTAGGAGTAGCTCCAATAGGTGATAAAAATGAGAGAGAGTAGATTAACATGGTTTGGGCACGTTCATAGAAGATCACCAACTATGCCAATTAGAAGTGATTTGTTACACATTGAAGGGGCTAGAAGAGCTCAAGGTAGACCAAAACAGACATGGGTAGAAGTAGTAAGAAATGATTTAGAACCAACAATTTAGCAATGGATAAGGCTTTAAATAGAATGGATTGGCGAAACTGGATCCATGTAGCCAATCCCATATAATTGGGATAAGACATGGATGATGATGATGATGATGATGATGATGATGATGATGATGATGATGATGAGGTTTTTCATTAAAATTACGTTTACCATTTTTAAGGTTATTTTAAATTTTAAGTTTATATTTTTAATTAATATTTTATTTAGCATTTTTAATATTTTTGACTTTTTGGGGATCTTTTGGCATTTGTTCAAATTTTTTTTAGCATTTTTTGCACCTTTCCTCGAAAACGTGCATACCTCGCCTTGCGCCTCGTGGCTCAGGTTTAAAATGCCCCTTGCGCATTTGTGTGTCTTGTGCTTTTAAAATACCAAGTAAGATAAGCACATCAAATTGAGAAAATTTGGTAAGGTTTTTATGGAAAAGATGGTAGACAAAAGGTTTCATTGGTTTAGTAGGATAAGGTGTGTAGAACAAAGACAATGCTTAGTAATTAGAAAAAAATAAAAGATTAAATAAAATGCATTGTTAACAAAGTGGTGGTGAAGAGAAGCTGACAAGAAATAAAGGATTGTGTGGAATAGGCATTACATTGGTTAAAAATATTGGACTTGTTCCACTAGTTTTCTTTTGATGATGTTTGGAGTAATTGGTCAACAGTGGCAAGTTGCTCTTATAAATAGGTTAGAGTAATTGCAAATTGAGCACCCCCTCCTGAAGGATATTTAAAGCAGAATTTTGATGGGAGCAGTCAAGGCAACCCAAGCCTTTTTGGAATTGGAGGGACCTTAAGAAACTGAGGTTGGAAAATGTATTATCCTTTTTCTCAGGTTCGCTGGCAGTTGGAGACTTTGTTAGGGCTGAATTGTTAGCTTCAGTACAAGTACAGATATTGATCCAAAAAAAAAAAATACAAGGACTACAGATTGCAAAAAGTTAGCGTCGAGTATCTACCGATTGAAGGGGATGCCAAGGTTGTAGTACTGTAGTGGGGTGAATGACCCATAATCTGCCATCTGGTTCTATAATAATGAAATCAAGAAAGTCAAGTGGCTTACACGAAATATGAACATAAGAATACAGTGGGTGGGAAGATAGGCAAATGCCATGGCTGATTGTTTATCCAAACAAAGGGCAAATAGGGATCAATTTTGTTGGACTCAGTTGTAATTTATTTTTGTTCTTTAATCACCTTTTTGTGAGAGGTTGCAGCTCGCGCCTCTCCTAGGGATGGTGGTGTGCAAATATGATGTAGAAAGGCATAGTGATGTTTCAAGAAGAGTATATGGGATACAGAAAGTTTTTAGTGGGAGATGGAAGATGAGTAAGATTCTGAGAAGATGAATGGTGTGGAGAGGGGAGACCCTGAAACCCATCCAAGGCTGTATAGATTGAGAACTACATTAATTATAATGAGTCAATGCTTTGGGATACAGAAAGTTTTTAGTGGGAGATGGAAGATGAGTAAGATTCTGAGAAGATGAATGGTGTGGAGAGGGGAGACCCTGAAACCCATCCAAGGCTGTATAGATTGAGAACTACATTAATTATAATGAGTCAATGCTTTGAAAAATGGGGAGCATATTGTGTTGTGTCCAAGGTTTAGGCAGCCTATTAGTTAGGGAGGAGGGAAGTGTCACACAGGTTGAAAGATAAGAGAATGAGACAACAAAAAATTTATAGTGAAACTCAGGATGAAAGATGGTGGAATGAATGTGTATTGTAGATGGAATGTTTATCATTAAAACTTGCTATGACACATTGACTAGGAGTTGGGCAGAGATATCTGAAGTGAGAGGGGTATGGGGTAATCAAATTCCACTAAGATGGAAACTTTTTCTAGGGTATTATCATTGGATGGCATCCTAATGGTCACTCACTTGAAATCAAGGGGCTTTCATATGCCAAATACGTGCATGATGTCTAGAAGACATGAGGTAAGTATGCTGCTTATATTTCTTCGCTGTACCATGGCAGCATCAATTTTGGAAGAGAACTTTTCTTGTTGGCCCAAGCTTCCAGAGGGCAAAAGAACTAAGACCATGCAGAGATTATTCCTTTCTCAGTTTGTTGGGTTATTTAAAAGAAAAGGATAGGCACAATTTTTTAAGACAAGTACAAATCGAGGAGAAGAATGGTGGCTGGTATTTTCTCTCTTGCTACGGAATGGGCTTTAGTTATTACTGAATTCGGGAGATTTAGGAATAAGCTTTTGTTCTTGTTCGGTTTTGGAAGTTGGGGGTTTTTGAGATGTTTTGAGAGTTCTGTATTTGTGCCTTTGTGGGTTTCATCACTTTGTAAAAATCATTTTGGTAAAATCTCATCACAAGCATTGTTGTCAATGCATCTAGGCAATTCTGCGCAACACTGGGGTGCCTAGTCACCTAGTCACCTTGGTGGGCACCTAGGCAATGCAGCCTATGCGATAAGAACTTTATAAATATAAAGAAGTAACTTTTGTCTAGTTCCTCTAGTTTTACATACCATTATGCATGCATATTAATTAAAAAAATAGCAACTCTCTTTACTAAAAACATTAATTTTTCTCTAAAAATGTGGCAAAGCATCATATCTAAAAGATTAAAAAAATCTTTAAATATATTAATTCATTATTTTCAAAAATAATACTACTATAATAAGTATTTAATAGAGCAACTTCATATCAAAAAGCAACTAAACAAGGTCTTTAACTTAATAGTAAAAAAAAACAGTTGTTTTATTTAATTGATGAGAGAATGAGGGAGAATAGAAAGAAAAAAAGAACCTTTGTTCTTCTATTATTTCTTTCTTTCCCTCTTTCTTCGTCTCTCCTCAAAACCTTTTGATCTTTTAAATTTCAATAGTAAAGCATCAAAACAAAGTATAAATTATATATAAGTATATAATAGAATGTATTCACATACATATTAATAAGATGCATCAATATAAATAATGGGACCCTAGTTGCCATAAGTCAAGGCGTTTAGGCAAGGTGACCAGCCAAGGGCGCCTAGTTGCCTAGGTCATAACTTGACAACTATGATCACAAATAGCTTGGAGTAATTTTCTATTCCAATGAAATTTCTTCTGCTCTTTCTATGCTGAAACCGTATCACTTTAATCAAATTTATTCTTACTATAAAAGAATTAAAGATCACCATTGAGAAAATAGAAAAATAAATGAGTGCATAATTTTACCTTGCATCATTGATGTAAATCTATATCTTGTTGTAATAGACTCAAGCTCCTGAATTGTGACCGTATAGCAATCAACATGCTTTACCTATTCATCAAGTTTGCATATGGATTCAATTTCCAAAACTACATCATATTGGAAGACATGGTTCTAAGCAATGCTCCGAAAACCAGAACTCTTTCTGATTCTCAAATATTAACAACCCAGAATACAGTCAAAACCATTGACTTCTTGTCATTGTTGCATGGACAAGGACACTAGAGTCAGAATCCAACACCTGTCCAAAAGTCTGACCCGGCAAGATGAGAAATCATGGACTCAATAGACTCGTGGACATGTATATTGGAAAAATATATACTACTAACAATTATCAAAAATATGTATAATACTACTAAAATATTCATCTTCTATATTAGTTGTTCATTTATGTCAAATAAGCTAGAATATAAAGAGGAAGCACTACATAGAAGTGTTCTCAAGAATCCGTGAAGTGTTGGACACTGATGCATGCCAACACAGAGACATAGTCCATTTATGAGAGTCCATGCAACACTGCTTTTCATCAAATATGGAACAGTCATGGGTGAACAGGGTTGAACCCGGTTAAAGTACAGTAAAACCAATTTTTCATGTCCTATTTCAGTATCTCTATATTTTTAAATAACACATTTATGACATGAAACTACACAGTCGAACCGTCAACCAGGAAACTGCAAAATTGGGGCTCGTTACAGCTTAGTTGCTGATCTTGTTATTTAAAGAATTGATTCTAAGATATAATCTCATTTATTCATCTATTCATATTCTTTATTCAACCACTGCATATAAATGTACATATTTAACATAAAGATGCCTGTATACAATAAGGGAACACTATCAATAGTTGAACTTATGAGGACAAGAAAATAATATGTAATAGGAAATTGAAGATAAAAAAAAAGCAATTAATCTTTTATAACAAGACATTTAAATCAAATAGAAATAAACATGATCAAGAACATTCTAAAAACCATGTGAGAATCAAGGAAGCAGTTAAAATTTACTGCAGGAAAATGGCTTTCCAGATGACCTATCAAATGTTTCTTTTTTGGTAATCAATCACAAGAGACAAGATAAAAACAGATAATTAATAAGAAAAGGGTAAGTACAAGCCCTAAAAAACAGGCAGCTAGAATAACAAGACCCATCTCTCTGTGTGTGTGTGTGGAAAAATGGACAAAAGCTAACGCTTCTTACACTGAACTAGTGTTTTAAAAGGCGTGGGAGGCGTATGCCTAGAGGCACGGCTCCAGGCGAGGCGCTCCCAAAACTTCMCCCCCCCCCCCTGCCCCCCTTTTCGATGCAAGGCCAATTTGTTCTTTTTTTTTTCAATTAGGATGTCTTGCTCCGCTCGCCTCTGCTTCGACAAGACCCCCCTTTCAACTAATGTTATGCATCTTTATTCTTCTTAGTATAAAAAATTTTTATTAAAAATAAAGAAAAAATGAGATCCCCCCTTCCTCTTCATCCTCCTTCCTCCTAACCCCCCTCCTCTTAAGGAGGCTTTCGCCTCCTTGTGTTCAGGAGGCTTATGCCTCTTGCGTTCTGAACTACGCCTCACGCCTCTAGGTAGTGGAACGCCTCACGTCACGCCTCCGCGTTTTAAAACATTGCACTGAACCACCCTCTACACCATATATATGGTTCCATCTAGCCCAATTGATAATGGAACTACTAGCACCACATGCTACCACAAGGAAGATCAATACTTCAAACATATTTTGGATCTTTTCTTCCCAAATGTTCTAGCAAACTGTGGAAGGGACCTTTTGCCAAATAGTAACAGCCCAATCACCTACGGAGATGGAAGGATGGGCTTGGATTATACCATCAATCAAAACCATAGTAGAGCCTTCATAGGCATTTTTTATCAGCAAGAAAGAATTTATTTTATTAATAAATAAAAGAGACTAGATAAACAATAGTAGAGTCTTCATGGGCATTTAAAAGTTCAGAGGAAAATTTTCCACAATGGTGTCGAGAAAGGGCAAAATAGGAATAAACACTCTAGCAATTTTGTAACCTCTACAAATAAACTGCATAGCTTAGGATGTTAAAACTTATGCCGTTCCCCGAACACCTCATCTAGGAAAATGCACACAAATGCCTCAATTGTGTGGGAGGGGAGTACCTTCGCCAAATGGAACCAACCTCAATGATACCTATCAAACTTCTAGCAGGAGTCAAATAAAAAGACTTGATGGAGGATATACCATCAAGTTACTACCCAAGTCAATAACATTACCAACATATATATCAACTGTAATGGAAAAATGGATTATTCTAGGACAAAGGTCAGAGAATTTTTCTATACCACTCCAGTTATATCATTCCATTGATCCCCCTATATATAGTGTCTACCCACTCCTCTAGCTAAGTTATCAGCAAGAGTTTGCAGATCTTGGAATTTATTTGAATGAGCTGTTCATTATAGATGCCAGAGATTTCTCCTCTCTAAAAAAGTGTAATTACCATCACTGACTGTCTCAGAACAAAACCATATAGTCATTACCAACTGGGTTTTCTCTTCCTCAAGCAAAGATAATTTAAAATGGTACTTTTCCCATGGTAATGTACTTGCTTGATAGTGAAATCAAATGTTATTATAAAAGGGAGAATGTAAATCACCCCTTTCGTTGCTCCAAAAGTTCTTTAACTTAAAATGCTTACAACTTATCATGTCACCCATCTCTGTGTGTTGCACACCCATTGAAGTCTCTATCGTTTTTCTTGAAAGAGTAAAGTATGATATTATATTAATGATTTCCCAGATGGTGGATTCATCCAAGAGTTTAAAGAAGGTGATGGCAGGGAACAGATCTCTTTACTACAATTCGCTGATGACACCATCTTTTTCTGTGATTCTCCAGCTGAAAGATTGATTTACCTGGGTTATATTCTAAGGTAGTTCAAAGCTGTTTCAGGCCTCAAAATTAATCTCTCTAACAGTGAAAAGTGTAAAGTAATGTTGACAGAGGAAGGGCATTCAGATCTCCAGTTGGCTAACATCATGGGCTGCAATGTTGGGAAATTGCACACCACTTATCTTGGCTTCCCTGTGGTTTAAAAAGCAACTCTATGAGAATCAGGGATTCAATTATTGAAATATTTGACAGGAAATTGATCATGGGGAAGTCAAAATATTTGTCAAAATGGGGTAAACTAACACTGATATGGAGTGTTTTGTCATCACTCCCCTTTCTTTGGATAATTTAATGATAATTTCATTAATCAAAATAAACTTTTACAAGCATCTCTTGGAGAGGTGCGAGGTGTAACCTCCCCTTTAATAGTGATCACAGGTTCTCAAAAACTAAGATTACAAAGCAGCCCAATATATTAGCTCCTGAGAAACCCCATGTTTAGCAAGAAAAATGGCTATTCCATTTGTCGACCCACCCACCCATTGGATTCTAATTTTCATGTACCTTGTTAACCATATAGCTTTTTTATGATATCCCTGTAACTCCAAATGAAAGAATCTGAACCCGATAGCCATCCCACAACCACCTTTGAATCTCCTTCAATTAGTAAATTCTCCACCCCAATTTGGTTGATAATCTAGGTCCCTTGTACTGCAGCAAGGAACTAATCCCTTGTAGAGAATGATATGATATTGCTGTCCTCATTTCTCAGAACCCATCCTAGACCCAACAGTCCTGGATTATCCTAACTATTTCCATCAAAATTCAGTTTAATAAACCCTTCCGGAGGTGGTGTCCAGACTGCTAAAGTACTGCTTTTCTTTAGAGAATATTAACTACTGCTAACAAACTCCTCTAAATGTCATCAAAGGAAATAGGAATTAAAATTAAGGGTTTTCAGCCAATGAATTTCCCTTGTTAAGATACACTCTTTCACCTATGAGTGACTTCTCTCCTTTCCTTGGAAAATTCCAGCATTCCTTTCTTCCTAAAGATGGCCCACAAAGTAGCCACTCTGATACATCTCCACATAACTCTCCCTCTTTTTGTGGGTCAAACAATGGTAGACAGATTAAACAACATATTTACTTCTATTGGCAAGTTCCACGAACAAAAATTCAATTCCACATGGCTGCAGCAAAACAGAAAGATATCAGTTTAGGTATAAACACACCACAAGGCCTTTTCTTTTTGTAGGTTGTCCAAAGTAATAATCTTACCATAGTAATCTTCCCAACAAAAACATAGCAATTTTGGGGGGAATATGCCTAGTCCAAACATTTTGGTACAAGGGCCTAAACCTTTCTATTTGGCTTCAAAGAATCCAAACAGACATTACCAAGGGAAAGTAAATACACAAGCAAGCCCATCATCCCACAACCCTCTACAAAAACCCAAGTCCGAATTTAAAGACAAAGGAAGAATTGGGGAGGAGAGAAATTTAGAGACAGCCTCTTTTTTTATAGAGGGAAATAGAAGGAAAAGAAGGAAAGAGGTCTTTGAGAGGTAAATTGCCCACCTAAGTGTCTACCCAAAAATGAACCAAGTTTCTAGAGCAAGCATCATACCAAGACAAATCTATAAAGAAATTTTGTAATGCAACATATGTGAGCAAATGAACAAGAAAACAGATAAAATTGTAATCTATTATGTATATAGCACGAGAGACTGACCACAAATGGCCATGTCAGGACATTCTCCCCTGTTATTGTCTCCACACAAGGCTCTTCAAAAGCACACTGCTTTGCTAATGGCAACATAGCAGACACTGCAGCCAATAACAGAAACAAACTGTTACAAAAAAAGGGAGGGAAATGGATGACCAGAAAAAAATTATTATAACAATTAAGTTAGACCCAATATATTCTTATATGCAGATGGGCACTTTGGTCCAATAAATACACCTGTCAGGCCAAGAAATAACCATATCAAAGAATTCAAACCACCAAGTCCATTTTCAATGTGTGAACACAACAGTATCATCTGATCAGGTCAAACTTCAAGCTGGAATAGATCCCATAGAGCAAGTAAATTAGATGGTTGACTGGTTGAGATTCATTCCATGTCCACCAGCGTACAAATAGATATAAAAACTCAATACAATGCAAGATCTATAATTAGCAATCAAGTGTGAAGATCCTAGTTTCTAGAGAGGAGGTAATTATATGATTCTCATTTTTTGGATAGTATTAAAAGAAAAGAAAAATAGGATAGAATACTAACTAAAAAAAATGTTAGAGGAGAAAAGTATATTACGAGCTTTGCAACCCAAGCAAAAACAAAGCCCAAATAACAATTTGCAAGTATGCACGAGTCCCACCATAATCGCAAAAATATGCAATTCCAAAAACAGAAAGCCTGCTATCCACATTAAAACCTCTCCATTCACCATAAGACCCCCCACACACCTCATAAGCCCACACAATTCAAGTGCAACCATTGACCCTTACTGCCACCCAACCCCTCTGTTACTTCCATATTCTCTAGTTCTTCTGGTAGACTCTCTCCTAGGTAAGTCCACCAGCACCACCACCTAATAAGACCTTTTCTTGTTTCTAACCCTTACTCTAACCACACCTAGTTCCATCACCTCACTATCACTATGTGCACAAGCCTCGCTGAGCATCCTCAATTAAATGTCATTGTCCTCAAGGCCAATAGATGGACCAGTAATTTAAAAAGCACGCCGAGGCCCCAGGTGCAGCTGGTCACTGGTGTGCCTTGCACTTCAGCCCAGGAGTGCACCTTTTAAACATTTGTGCATTTTTCTGTTTTTTATGCCTAGCAAATGGGCCAGGGAATCCATGCCCAAACCCTCAACCAATCCCCTCGAGGCAAGTCCAAACAAGTCCATATTAGGGTCTTAAATTCTTAATACATGCCCCCTACAATGTTTTTAAAATCGCACAATTCACAATTCAAATAATATATTCATATCAAATCATGAACAAAACGATATGAATCGTATACAGGTATCATTTTTTGCAATAACCGTGCAACTTATAACCAAATCGCTAAATCGATTCATAAATCATGATTTACAATTGATTTTACTGATTAATTATTTTATCAAGAAAAGACTATTTAGCCCCTCTCCTCTTAAGGTTTTTGTTTTGAAAAATGAGGGGTAATTATGCCATTTTAATTATTAAAGACAATTTGCATTCCTAATCAATCGGAAAAAGCTTTCTTTCTAAAAAAACCAAAAGAAGCTTCCAACGAAAGGAAACTTTTGGGCAGGAGAAGAAAAACCCTCCTATGATGCATAGAAATTCCTTTGTACCTTTAAGTATTTCTTCCTTTGTTTCTATTTTGATGCAAAAACAGGGCTTCTGCCCTTCTTGCTTTTTCCTTCTCCACAAATGTTTTTGCCCCTTCATCTTTAGATGCAAAAGGGACTTTTAATTCCTTCTTTTCTCACACAAAAACAGGGGTTCCGCCCTCTTATTTTACTCTTTTCTGATGCAAAACAAGGGTCATTCCCCATTTTTTCCAGTCGTTATTTGACACAAACAGAGCTCCGCCCTATCTTTTTTCTTTTCACCTTTTTAATGTGAAATAGGAGCATTGCTCCATTTGTTTTCATCCTTTCTAGCATAAAAACAGGGGCTCTGCCCCTATTTTTTTATCTTTTTCTCATGCAAAATAGGAGTTGCTCGGTCAATCCGCCCATATTTTCTTGTTTTTTCATCATTTTTTGTAACAAAGATTTCTTTGTTAGCTCCAGTATGTAAGTCTTTATTTATGCATGTGTGCATTTCGTTAAATTATCATGTTCTTGCCTTCTTGGATGTGTGTTGGGTTCAAATTGAGCAATTACATCTCTCTCTTATTTCTGTCCCACTTTACAGCTTTGTGTATGGGATTAATCTTCCCACACTAGTACATATTTCTGTCCCACTTTACATTGCAGCCCAAAACAATTGTTGCCTCAAAGCCCTTTGTTTAGCAAGATAATTAGCTAGCCCATTTTCACTCCTAACCCATTTGAATTCAGCCTCTACCTCCTTTGCAACCTTTTCCACTTCCCTTATCACTTGTTTGGAAAGTCCACAGAGTACTTCTATTGTTTCTAGCCCAAGAGATGATAACCTTGGAATCCCCTTCAACCTCAATATGCCTCAGTCCTAGTTGCTTAGCTATCTTCAGCCCTTGTAGCAATGCCATTAACTCAGCTTTTAGAGAGTTTCCAATGGCAATCGATCCAGAGAACAAAGCTAATATTCTCCTTTCAGAATTTCTGATTACTCCTTCGATACCTGATAGTCCCGGATTTCCAAGAGAGCTTCCATCAAAATTCAATTTAATCTTGTTACCATCTGGAGGTTTCCATCCCATTCTTACTTTCTCTTTCACTCTTGACGATTGTGCTACTTCTGTCCAAGATCTTAGAATGTCTGTGACTGAGAAGTCTTGAAAGATATGCAAAGATTTTACCCAACAAGCTACTTTAACTTTGTGAATAAACCCTAGTTATTTCTAGGTCAAAGTAGGAAAGAAGAAAGAAGAAAGAAAAGAGAAAGAAGGAGAGGAGAAGAGTGTTCGGCCAGACTAGAAGAGAGGATGTWCAAAAGTMMCTCTCCTAACCGACCCACTTGACTTTTATTCATGAAAAACTTGAGTTACAAGAAAGACAATTTTGTCCCTCATAGAAGATGGGACACAACTTAAACTCAGATACAATAGACATTTCACTTTCAATAAGATACACCAGAATGACCAAAATACCCCTGACTCGAGCATTCTAACAAACTTTAATGGTGTTGATTACCTCCTCCATTGTTCTACTCTTCTCCAAAAATGTTTTGTTAATCCTTTCTTCCCAAATCACCCAACAAATAGTTGCCTTCGTAGCTTTCCACATAACATTCCCTCTTTTCTTTGGTTGGCTCAACAAATCTCGACTGAAAAGTCCTGCCACATCTTGAGGGGAAACCTACCTGCAACCAAAGACAGTACAAAAAAATTCCCAAATGTGATGCACAAAGGAACAAGATAATAATAGATGTGTAAGGGACTCACCACTTTCCTTACAAAGGGAGAACATGTGAGGAGAAAGGCAAGCAAAAGGCCTTCTTCTCTACAGCATATCACAAGTATTTACCTTGACAAAGAAAATTTCCCAACAAAATGTGGGGGGGATAGACTTACTCCAAATTTCTTTCACAGGTAAATCCCCAACTAGGATGCTAGGTGAAGCAAGAACACTAAAATAGGAAGAACACGAGAAGAGGCCATCTGAAGAGCCTTTCCATATTTTGGAATCTTCCAAGGATGGGTCCAAGTGAACTTGTCCTATTAGATCGAGCAACAGACCGAGTCACATTCATTTTCCCTGTGGCCCCTTCTGAAACCCAGATTCCAATTGACCCCATTTGGACCAAGAGTTCCCAAATTACATACAGTTTCCCCTTTAAAATTTGACAAAGTATAGAGCTCGTGAAAAAAAAATCTTTAAGTGGGCTTTCTCCTACCCAAAGGACTTCCCAGAAATGAACTTTATTGCCCTGACCCACATCAAATCGAATGGAATTAAGGTAGGGTAGATTTCATAAATTGCTTTCCAAGGGGAAGTTGAAGAAACATGGGGGGCAACTTTTGCATCCCAACCATTTCCATCCAAACCATGAATACTCTCAATGACTTTGTGCCACAATTTGTTGCTCTCGAAAGGGAATCTCCACAGCCACTTTCCTAACAGAGTTGAGTTCCTGAGTGAAAGGTCCCAAACCCCCTTGATCCTTGGGCTTTCTAACTTGATCCTAATTAATCAGGTGAACCTTCCTCTCCTCTCCTGGGTCCCAAAGGAAATTTCTCATGTATTTCTCTAATCTCCTTGCTACTATACAGGGTTCTAAAGGTTGAAAGTAAGTAAATAGGGAGGTTCTCCAAAGTGGCTCTAATCAAGGTTATCCTTCCACCTAGAGAGATATAATTCCTCTTCCACAGAGCTAGCTTCCTAGCAAATCTTTCAATGACTGGCTTCCTGAATCCTTCTGATCTAAGGTTTCCTCCTAAAGGTAAACCCAAGTAGCTAATTGGCCAACTTCTAATCTCACACCCCAAAATCTCTACGAATCTATGGAGTTCCCCTTCCTCCAGATTGACCCCTACAATGCTAGTTTTGGTCCAATTTATCCTCAAACCTATCACCCCACAAAATTATCCAATAGCAACTTTAGGTTTACCACTCCTTCCTCATTCCTCATTCACAAAAAAAGATTGTGTCATCTGCAAATTGGAGGTGGGTAACAACCACTTGATTCCTACCTATCCTCCACCCTCTAATCAATCCTTGGAAATCAGCTTCTGCCACCATTCTGCTTAACACCTCAGCCACTAAAGTGAAGAGAAGCGGGGATAAGGTGTCTCCTTGCCTAATTCCTCTCTCAACCGGAAAGAAATCCTTCGCTACACCATTAATAGGAATTGAGTAATGGACAGAACTTGAACATCCTCTAATCCAGGATCTCCAATTGGTTCCAAAACCTAACCTTTCTAATGTTTGAAGGAGAACTTCCCAGGTAACCATATCATAGGCTTTCTCTAGTTCCACTTTACACACCAACCCTTTTCCTCTACCCTTTCTTTTTTCTGCAACACACTCATTGGCTACTAAAATTCGATCCACAATCTGCCTTCCTTCCACGAAGGCACCTTGGAAAGGAGAGATGATCGAGGGTAGCACTTTCTTGATCCTTTCTGAGAGAATGATCTGAAATAACCCTAGGTAGCCCTTTCACTACTATTAAGCCCCACAATTCTTCC